AACCCACAAAGGCTAGCAGGCCGCCTCCCATGAAGCTCCCTTGTCACCTTGGTGAGTGTGTCCTGACTCACAGCCTGGCATTCCACCCTGCAGGCTCAGAGACCTCATGTGCCGTATCTAGGACAACTCACCTTAGCTTCACAGGGTAAAGTATAACCCAGAATGCCAACTGCCTAAACATCTCCAGCCTCAGGCACATCCCGTGGTGCTTTCCAGGGGTAATCCACACTCTAGCTGGGAAGACGTGTTATGTTACCTGAGCAGGACAAGCCAGCATATCACACAAGCAGAAAACTATTTTTCTAGATTACTCAAAACTTGGAACAGCACCTAAGGGAGAATGAGTTACTCAGGGGTGGACACAAAGCAGGGCTGAGGAACTGTGAAGCTGGGAGGAGGCACTGGTGTCTGGAGCTGGCTGCGCACGTCTCCCAACTCCATGCTCGGCGATGGCCACTTGGTAGATGAGAGACCGCGGTGGGAGTATTATTTGCGGAATCTGGAAGTCACACACGCCACACGTCGGGGTTTTTTCCATTCCCGGGAGTGGGTTGTTAAACACCTGCACACCACTGGAAGGCAAAGGACCCGGAGGCTGTGGCCCCACTGGGGCCGTGGGAGCCCTAGGAAGACGCGGAAGGGGTTCTGGGCAGGGCAATGTTTTTCCCAACAGTGCTATCACGTAGGAGGCCCACCAGCGCTACAGAGTTCTGTTTAACTCCGCTTCCATCAATGGCTCTCAGCCTTTCACAGTGGCATCCCCTGAGGAGCTTTAAAAGAAATACTGATGCCTGAGTCCCACCCATTAGATTCAGTTGTCACCGGTTTGGGAGTGTGGCCTGGACACTGGGATTTTTTGAAGCTCCCCAGGCAACTGTATTGTGCAGCCACAGCTTTGCCACTGGCTTAAGGTGGAAAGGACTTCTCAGTTACGACTTGGCAACCCCATCAGCTGATGCTTCCATCAGACACAGACGCAAGTGAAGTCCTAGTAATTAAAAAGTAGCACTCACTGTTAGGGAAACAAAAATATGGCCCAGACTTTCCCATTACTATATTTAATGGGATATATAATTAGAATAAGATTGGAAGACATAAATCATGTTAGAGCCAATTCCTTCTGTATAACATGTAAAGGACACATGAATGCTTCATGAGACCCATGTCCTTGAATTTTAATAGAACGCCATTGAAAGAATTCACTCTGAAACCCACGAGTGGGGAACTTCTCAAAGAAGCTTGTTTTGGATTTTGAACTTGAAGCCAACCTGGCATCAGAAGCCCCTCAGAGCAGCATCCCCAACACCGGGAACTGGCTTCTCCATGAATCATAAAGTATCTTTTCACCCTTCTCCGGCAGGTCAAGCCAGAGGCTTCTCAGAGCTTCGAGTCCCCGGGGTTCGCCTGCACACTCTCCCCCACCACACAGAGGCAGCAAAAAGAGGACGCCGCCGTTTCTGTCAGGGAGATCAGCCTCCTCAGACAAACCCTTGGGGCGACATTTTCCTCAATTTTTATTAATTATATTCTCATTCACTGTGTTTTTGCTTAGGAAGACCTTTCCTTTTCTCCTCTCCCTTTTTTTTCTGATCAATAGGTGTAGTAGGAAATTAAATCTTCATTCAATTATTTCCATAAAAACGCACACCTTATTATATCCTTCTGCTCTGTTTTGGGCAGCCTTCTTTTAAAAAAGATAAGAGCCCTCTGTCCAGTATAAATTCAAGCTTACCATAGAACTTCCTACAAACACATTCGAACCAGTCCTAGCAAGGGTTTTGAAAGAGGCAGAGACTAACTTCTGACTCCAACTTCACCGTGGACCAGACGGTGCAGTCCTGAGGGCAGGATTCAGGCTCCCAATTACCATCTGAAAAGGGGGTTCAGGCAAGCCGCCAGAGCAACCTGAACTTTCACAGAGGAAAGAAGGGTGACCAAGCAATGGAAACCAAAGAGCCCAGGCACTCTAAAGCTAAAGAAAGGAGGGAAAAAAAAAAAAAAGAAAGAAAGAAAGAAAAAGAAAAAAAAAAGGAAGGAAATCTTTTAACTTCCAGTGCTAATTACACCAATTAGTGGCTGAGTCTCATTTTCCTGGGAGGGGCAGGGAAGGGCGTCATCCATTCATTAGCGTCACTTACTAAGGGGTCCTTCCCATTCCCCAGCAGTCATCTTAATTACAGATGTTACATGAATTCTCACCGAGAGAGAATTCATTTATTCTAGAGGTACGAGCTCACAGTTAATCCTGATTACATGGCTTTCCTATTCCACAGGACAGACTGCTAAAGATGTTCTTTCTGTTATGAGAAGGGAGCACATCTATGCCACAGGATTAACCAGCCCTGTCCTCCCCATCCTACTTGTCAATCTCAGAACATTTTTCAGTGAAAAAGACCTACTGGGAAAATGCTTTTGAAAATCATCCCTGCTATAGCCAGGGCCACACACACAAAGATAAATTGGGCACAGTTTTCCTAGCCCACTCTTCTCCCTGTCCCTCATCCAACCGCCCTCCAGGTTCAGCTCCAGAGGGGCTCACAGCCATCAGGATTTCTCACCACCATAACTCCCTTCTCCCATCCTCCTCCACTAAATGTGACTGCCTGGCACCTCATGCCTGCCATGCTAGCCCCACATGCCTTTCAGGAGGGCTGTCAGCAAATGAATAAACCAGAACTCTAGATCAAGTCTGACGTTTCCAAGAGTGGGTCCCACAGAAACTGCTTCCACTGCATGTCAGTGGCTTCTACTCAGAAAGAGGGTTCCTTAAACAAAAAGTTTGGGGAGCTTGAAAAGAAGGTTTCAAGGGGTTCTTGATCACAGGACTTCTCTAAGACTTTCTTAGGGGAATGGGCAGTGGGGCTTACCACAAGCAAGATTCCCAAAGCTGTTTAGCCCCAGAGTCTTTCTGCACAGAACGTTTTAGAGGGCTTGTATTTAACAGGCCATAACCCCTGTGATGACAGGTGCCATGAGACAATGAACAAACTCTTGGCCACCACATGGGGAGTGGCACAGGAAAAGAATGCTGTGAATCAGCTGAAAAGGAAGGCAGAAGGAAAGAAGGGAGGGAGAGAAAGAAGGCAGGGAGGGGAAGAAGGAAGGAAGGAAGGAAGGAAGGAAGGAAGGAAAGAAGGAAGGAAGGAAAGGAGGGAGGGAGGGAGGGAGGGAAGGAGGGAGATGTTTGGTACAACATGGAACAATTGAGATTAGGAAGTGAGACAGGATTGATGGGGTTAGGGAAATTTAGACTGAGTGACCTGAAATTCACATGTTAAGTGGCGAGGATGAGAACCCTAAAACAGAGTGTGAATGCTGGAATGAAACCAAGATGGAAAGCTAAATCTGCTTCCTTCAGAAAATTAAAATACTTGTCACCTTTTTGATCTTGCATCACTGTTGCTGAGGTTTTTAAAAAAAATCTTTAGTCAGCATATTTATTTCATATGTTCTTTCAAAAACTTTTTGAGATATAATTCACATATCATAACATTCGACAGCAAGGTGACTATAGTTAATGGTGATATACTATATTCTTGAAATTATATTCTTGAAAAATCCAAAGAGAACTATTAAGTGCTCTCACCACAAAAATGTTTACTATGTGAGGTAATCTAATTTTTAATTAGCTAGATTTAACAATTTCACATTGTACATATACTTCAAAACATCATGTTGTACAGGATAAATAGATACAA